GACAATATTGCCTTTTGTAGAGCTGCTTTATAGCTGAAATTTAATTTATTTCATAATTTGATGAACTTCGATTATTGAAATAAACTGAATCAACACTGAACTGAGATAAGCTGAGCTGAATAATACTATTAACTTCTGTAAAGCTGCTTTATAGTTGAACTAGTTTGCTTCACAACTAATGAACTTTGCAACATTCACAGTTATTGAACTTAACTGAATCAACAATGATGGAAATTGAGCTGAATAATGACACTATTGTCTTTCCAAATCTGCTTTACAGCTGAAACCGTATTAATTTAATTACTGACGAATTTTGCAAGCTGATTTGAAACAATCTGTATTGTATTACAAAGTGCTACATAAACAAATGTGCCTTGACTTGTCATCTGGTCTGGCTGGGAGACCAGCTAAACCAGTGTAAAACCAGCTAAGGCCAGTGAACCACATTAGGATGACTTAATGCTTTTAGTAGGGCTGTGAAAAAGAGTAATTGAAATGTGCACACTCAAAGCGCATTTCATAGTAGTAATTTAATGTCAATGTAAATGATAATCTAACAGCACTGTACTAATAACGTCCCACTGAGACAGCAGTCAACAGAGAGCATGTGCGCGCGTGTGTGTGTGTGTGTGCGCGCGCGTGTTTGTGAGTGTGACAGGCCTCCTACGCTGATTCATCCTCCCTCTCGCACCCTCCTATGGTCATAAACCATTATTCATTTGTGCGGTGTGTGTGTGTGAGCATGTGTGTGCCTCTGAGCGTGACAGAAAGAGGGAATATTTTGAGCAGAAGAAGGAACGGGGACGCAGATACTCACAGAGGAGTGTGTTGCTTTAAATGGGTTTTCAAGTTCAATTAACATGATGTTTTTAATGAATTAGAGGACTATGTTTTCTTTCACCAATATACGAAATAATCACAGAAAACCTGGGCAAGAATCTGTCTGTTTAAACTGCATATGAAAGCTATTACATCCCTCTAGCGCTTGCTCTCAAATCAAATTAGAGCTTCAGTCAAGTGAGATGACCTGCCTAAGACAAAAGAGAAATCGAGGAATGGGAGCTCTTTTACTATTACAAATATTATTCTAAGCTTATTTAAAATCCAGGAATATTGTACATACTGTAGTATACAATTTAGATTCAGTTTTGATCCCGGTAAGAAAGAAGAAGTAAAAATGAGATTGCTTTAGTATCTCATTTTTTTCTCTAAGACAATGAGGTTAAATGCAAAATGAGACTTTAGGTTTATTTTAATCCTGAAAAAAAAGACCCCATTAATCTCACATGCATCTTCTAGAATTTCAGACATTTCTCATCAAATTCTTCCACAACCAAATAATCTGAGATGCTTTCCACATACATGTTATAGCTCTACACTCTTAAAAATAAAGATTCCAAAAGGTTTATTTTGCAGCGATGTAACAGAAGAACCATTTTTGGTTTCCCAGAGAACCTCTCAGTGATCAGTTCTTAAAAAAAAAAAACATTATTTGCTTAGTGTAAAGAACATTTTACTAATCTAAAGAACCTTTTCATACTGTAAAGAATCTTTTGTAAAATGGAAAGGTTCCACGGATGTTAAAGGTTCTTCAAGGAACCAAGAAACTTTAGTTTTATTATACTCTTATTTATATGACAACAATTGACTTATTTTTGATGAAAGCGTAATGTCTAACCAATATATATATATATTTTTTTTTTTCTGGTCTACCTTTAAAAAAAAAAAATCATCACAAAGTATCCATGCCAAACCACCATAAAGCATTATGTCCTAATTTCTGTTGGTGCATTAATTTGGATGAGATTTTGCTTGGGAATTTGGAAAAAATTATGCATACATGCTCAAATAAAATGCTCAAATGCCAAACAAAGAAACACTAATTCCTTCAGTGGGTTCATGATTTCTTTAAATTCATAAATTAGCACGTAATGTAAGGTTCACATTTTACTGTGAATGAGAAACATTGCACCAAATGTTTAATTTCACATAGTGAAGAAGAGTGCATGTCGCGCACTGGGAGCTCTTAGTATGCATCATCTGCGCGCAAAGCGGGGCTGCCCTACTTCTGCGAGCACACACAAAAATACGAGATGCTACACAAGTGGGAGTGACCACGGTACATCCAGCATCCTTTTTTATTGTCATGACATGAATGAACACAAGCAGAAAAGCACAACGCAAGAGAAATAGAACAAGAGAGATCTGTCAACATCAGACGGGTCTGAATGACATCTGACAGCATGCATTGATGGAAATCAGTTGCAGTCATACTGAGTGTAGTTCAATATAATGTGGGACACAAAAAGCCATGTGTACATGCACAAAGATGATTCTTATATTTTAAGTGAACAATAATGTTGATCTATTCCAAATTTTATATTACATAATAAATGTTAGCAGGTACACAGGGTGAACCAGCACAAAAACACAATGCATCAGTGTACTACATGAGAAATAGTCCATGTTACTCGAAAAAGAGTGACAGAGGTAGGTTTGAATGGCATCTGACAGCATGTACTGATGGAAATCAGTTGCAATAGTGACTGTGCTTAAAAATAGTGTGAGGGAGGGAAATGAGGGGAAAATGTAGCTAAGATGAGAATACACGATGAATACATATATGTGCAACAGAAATCAGATTTTTAGATTTGGAGTAAACATTGAACTAGCATGTTACCCTAAAAAGTGATAGGTAGATTAAATTGACATCTAACTGCATGCACTGATGAAAATCTGTTGAAATCATATCCAGTGTGGTTTAATATTGCATAAAGGAGCACAATGAGTCAAAATATAAGAACAGGGGTAGCCTGCACAGTGTGTAAAGAATAAATGTGCATACAATCTTATGTTTATAAAGTATAAAGTCATACATACCAATATAAACATGTTTTCTATCATAAATTTTATATTTCATAAGAATCGTTAACCATGCAGGTGCGCAAACACAAAACTACAATGCATTAATGCATGCTGTCAGATGTCAATCATTTGTAATCGTGCTGGTCGTGGTATATATGAGAGACCAGAAGGAGTGCAAAATAAAACCACGCTCTGTGCGTAAAGAATAAATACATGCAACAGAAGAAAATTGATGTTTAGAAGTAAGCAGCGGTGAACAATAACGAGGCAACATATTTTTAGGTCGTAATGCATTTTATAACAGGTAACCCATGTGGCCAAAGCCCTCACCAGCCATTTAGAAGCATCATTACCTTTGTGCATGCCTGTGTAACGGTCCTTGAGGACAGTCAGTTCGTGGATCTTTCCAAACTGTTCGAAAAGAGGTTCGAGGTCCTTCTCCTCCAGGTTGCGCGGGATCTGTCCTATAAACAGCTTGATGGCATCCTGGTCTTTCATGGTGCCGTTGTCGGGGTGGATGGAGATGGGCTCTGAGCCGTTCATGGGTTTGGGGAAGGTGATGTGCGCGTACTGGGGCTGGTGCGGGATCAGGAGCAGTGGTGCCGCTGCCTGGCTCGGTACCGTCCCCGGTCCAGAGAGGAGCAGGCTGGCGTGGGCAGGCTGAGGATGCTGCTGAGGATGCTGCTGCCTCCTCGCTTCAGTCTGGGTGAATCTAGCCATTCTGCGCGCGGCGGAGAGCGCGATAATAATAACAACATACATACGCACGCACGCACACGCGCCGGGAGAGAGTACGCGCTCCGCTGGAAACGCGACGTTCACTTTCTATTCGACACATGTCACGCTCGCGTCCCCCGCACCTGACAGGAGGAGGCGATGAGAGCCGAGCGCGGCTACGACTCACATGCGTGGACCCGTAGCGCCACCTGCCGACCAATAGTCAACTGCGCTACTAGATAGATACACTACAAAATGTTGGGTTATACAACCCAGTGCTGGGTAAAATAGGGACAACCCCAGCAAATGGGTTGTTTTGACCCAGCGGTTGGGTTACTACCCAGAAGGTCAACCGCTGGGTCAAAACATTTACTGCTGCCTCCTCGCTTCAGTCTGGGTGAATCTAGCCATTCTGCGCGCGGCGGAGAGCGCGATAATAATAACAACATACATACGCACGCACGCACACGCGCCGGGAGAGAGTACGCGCTCCGCTGGAAACGCGACGTTCACTTTCTATTCGACACATGTCACGCTCGCGTCCCCCGCACCTGACAGGAGGAGGCGATGAGAGCCGAGCGCGGCTACGACTCACATGCGTGGACCCGTAGCGCCACCTGCCGACCAATAGTCAACTGCGCTACTAGATAGATACACTACAAAATGTTGGGTTATACAACCCAGTGCTGGGTAAAATAGGGACAACCCCAGCAAATGGGTTGTTTTGACCCAGCGGTTGGGTTACTACCCAGAAGGTCAACCGCTGGGTCAAAACATTTACATTTATGCATTCAGCAGACGCTTTTATCCAAAGCGACTTACAGTGCACTCAGGCTATACATTTTTATTTTTTACCAGTATGTGTGTTCTTTGGGATTTGAACCCACGACCTTTTGCGCTGTTAACACAATGCTCTACCACTGAGCCAAAGGAACATTTCAGCCCAGTTGTATTTAACCCAGCATTTTTTAGAGTGTAGATAGATAGATAGATAGATAGATAGATAGATAGATAGATAGATAGATAGATAGATAGATAGATAGATAGATAGATAGATACAAAAAAAATCACACTGACAAAAAATAGTGTAGGATTGACTTTGAAACAATTTTCTTCACATATATTTTTTACAAAGAATTTCACAATAATTACAAAGAAACCGCAATTAACATTGAATTAAATATGAAATTTTGAATTAGAAAGACTACAATTGTATTTTCTTTTCAAATGTACTTCAGTAATGATTGTTGTAGTTACAACTTTAATTTTGTATCTTATTTTTTTTCTACATTGTACTTGTACTTAATTGTAGGTGTATGACTTTCCAAGATACCAAACAAAACCGATTGTACGGAAGACCAGAAACTCTTGATTTGACTGACTAACTTGAACTTGTCTTTTTAGCCAGAAAGTGAGTCATGTCGGTGAATTACGCCGCAGGACTTTCTCCATATACGAATAAAGGAATCTGCGGCCTTCCGGAGGTAATGTTTACATTTGTTGCAGTTAGCCGGCTAGCTAGAATTAGCTTCATTTAGTGCATATTAGCATCATATTTCAAATGTGCTTTACGAAATGCAGTTATTCTGTATTAAAATCTATTCCAGTCTCTGTAGACTTACGTGTGTAAAGAATATGACGGATGTGCGCTTCATATCGCTACGAAATCTGAACTAAAACATTAGGCAGTTACTGAATTTTTATGCTAATAATAAAAACATGAGGTCTTTGTTAATTTGATTTTACCACAGTTAAGGGGGAAACGATATTAATATGATAAGTCACCTGTGGTTAATAAAAAAAAATCATTTTTAAAAAATAAGAATCACATTTTTTCCGCCAGGTAATACTTCACTAGCACAACTGTAAGACAATTTATGGTTGCCAAGCAACGCACCGCGTTAATTCTAACTCAAGTGAGCTGTTATCGAATAATAACAACAACAACAAAAATTATAATATACGGTTACTTACAGGCAGTGTTGGGGAAAGTTACTTTTAAAAGTAATGCCCATCATCTTGATCCTGGATTTAATTTATATTTAAGATAGATTAATTTTAATCATGTTGCTCCATAACTTTACACTCAGATTTAAATCTCAATTAGGGATTAATTTAAAATTTACAGGTGAGGAGGTTTAAAGAAAATAAAGTGCACTTACAGTTTCAATTATGTGGCTGATTGAACAAAGACAGAAACAGCGGTTGTGTCGTCAGGTCTCAGAGAGGTGTTTATTATAAATAAAAAAGAAAATTAAAGCGCACTGAGCCAGCAGATTTTGAGGGTCGTTGCAGCCCATAGTAAACTTGCGTCTGCTATCGAGTCCGGTATGTGAATCCATCACTTATCAAACGGACAGGGCTGTCACGAGCGGAGGTAGTCACTCCGCGAATCATGCCAGTTATTTTCTCTTATCTCGATTGTTTTGTCATACGCTATACTCCATTAATTTATACTATAAATATATTTCCAATATTATGAAATCCGTATGCACTGCCTCAAAGTTTTGATTGCTTGCTTTATCAGCCGTTTGATCAACGGTCTCTCTACTTACGTTAGCGGTTTATAAAGACGGTGGACCTTTTACAAGTTTATTTCCTTTATCGACAAAAGCAACTTATGTCAGAGACCGAGAATAAGGAATATTAGCATTGCTGCGGTTTAATTACATGACGAATCCATCATGGCGGAGAAAATTATTCGTAGATGGAGGTTTTAATCGCAGGTTAGAATTCGAATCCCCGATTTGTTAATCTCAGTTTAAAATGAAGTGGTGCAACACAACTCGATTTAAAATAAAACCCAGATCAACAAATCCTTGATTAGCTCTAAACTTAATTTAATCCTTGTTGGTGCAACCCACCCTAAATCATATGGATACAAAGGGTATAGAAAAGAATCACCCCCCTTTAAAATAATCACATTTTGTTGCTTTGCAGCGTGAAATGAAGATGGACACTGTTTTTGTTTTATCCAGCTGTATTTACTCAGTGCAACTTATAACATCCAAGTAAAAGATATAACACCAACATGTCAGAAAAAAATTGCCCTATTAATGGCTGTTTCTATGGGCCGCTATACGTAAGCCGTCCGCCATATTGGAATAGTCAAAGCCGGTCCGTGAACACTCGAGAGCAAGATCCCTGTGTGTCTGCAACTGTAGTTATAGGCTATGCATGCATGCATAAATATCTATATCTGCAGTAGACTTAGTCAAATGCTTTTTCTAAACAAACAAAATACAACAAGAGGAAGCCATTAGCTAACAAGACATTTAAAAGGGACTTTAGTTTAAATACCTGTAATATTGAGTTAATGCATATTAAAAACACAAACCAACACATTCTTACCTTTGAAAGTTTGTCCACTTTGTTCAGAACTTTAAGTTTAGGCAGTTTTTACAACCAGATGCTGCACAATGTTGTTGCGTCATGAAACTCATTGATTTTTGGTGTGAGTGACGACATATAGACCGTTCCAAGATGGCGGACGGACGCATCAACATGTCTGGAGTGGTCGAATGTGGAATCTACCTATACATATCTATGGAAAAAGGATCACCCCCTCCTAAAAATCAGGTGTAGCTTCTCAATCACCTTCTCAACTGACTCTCAACTGTGATCATCTGTGCTCATTTTGATTAACTCAGCATGAAAAGAGCAAAAAGGCAAAAGGTGGTTCAACAAAATACTGACACAAGGGGGTGATTCTTTTTCCAACTGTGATTCTGTTTTTTTTTTTTTTTTTTCTGACATGTTGGTGTTATATCTTTCACTTGGATGCTATAAGTTCCACTGAGTAAATGCAGCAGGGTGAAGCAAAAACTGTGTCCGTCTTCATTTCAGGCTGCAAAGCAACAAAATGTGATTATTTTAAAGGGGGGCGATTCTTTTCTATACCCACTGGAGACAGATGATGCTGAATGCTGAATAGTTCTGAAAGGTTGCGAAGGTATTAAGGTATTCTATTAAGGTCATGTATTCATAATGAAAACCACTTGTGCATTCACAAAAACTCTTAGTATAAGTTCAAGTTCAGCTAAATACAGGTTTACAAGTATGTGTAAAATAAATACTATGTACAATATAAATAGTGCACTGTCATTTGAAAGAAAAAAAAAAAGAGCAATTTGAAATAGTTTATGAACATTTGTTTATGTGACCAGTGACCACTCACTAGTGTGACAGCATTTGGGCTGTTTGTAGTGCAGGTCAGGAGTCTGATCGTGTGTGTGTGTGTGTGTGTTTGCAGGTGTTTGACAGTCCAGAGGAGCTGAAGGCTAAAGTGGAGACACTGGCTCAGTGGATCAGGGAGTCGCAGTACATGGTGGTGCATTCAGGAGCTGGAATCAGCACGTCGTCAAGGATCCCAGACTTCAGGTACTGCAGAGAGACTTTCACAGATCAGAGTATATTAGGATCATTGTTCATAGTCATTTTAGTAAAAGTTTTATTTTAGTAATTTTGTTGGGTTTTGGTCTTTTTCATTCGTTTTTTTTATTTATTTATTTATATATATATATATATATGTCCATGTAGTATTAAGTATTAGTTTTAGTTTATTTACTTTATTTTAGTACTTCAAAAATAAGAAATGTTGCTTTGGCAACTAGATGATATAAAATACGTTTTAGTTGTTTTATATTTTATTTCAGTTAATGTTTATTTTATTTCAAATAAGGAATTTTCTTTTTTAATGTTTTTAGTTAATGATAATAACCCTGGCACTGATGCATCAAACATGCATGCATTAATGTTATTTTGAAAAGTCTGAAAGTATCATCTTTAATGGGATTATAGCTGTTTTATTTATTTATTTGTTTGTTTGTTAGTGGGGAAGCTAGTATAGACTATTCTTGCTGTTCATCTGTGCTATGGTAGATGGCGCTTCAAACTGCTATTTTGAAAGCATGAAAGAGTATGGTGACAAAATGGACAAAAAAGCACCATGAAACTAGTCAGTGTTGCTTTACATACTAGTCTTCTGAAGTCATACAATAGCTTTATGTGAAATGTTCAACTATTCACTGAAAATCATGACTTCTTCGTTAGCTCTCATTTCTTTGTTACAAGTCTCATTTATGTTTACAATACATGTAAGAACTTAAGAGCATTGCACTTTTTTTCTTAGAGTCATCATGTGAACTGATATTGAATATGTTCACTGTCCCTTTGAAGTTAGGGCCAAGAGTAAAATATAGACATTTTCTATGTAATGCCATCAACTGAGGTATAATTTTTCCTAAAGCCAATGGCTATGCATTTGTGTTTTCCACCCACATTCCTAATCTTCTGGCAGCCCAGTGGAAGGAAACAGGGATAATCCTGTGGATTTAATCCTTTGGAAATAACCAAAATCATGCTTTTCATAACCAGAAATAGAGCTTTTGTTTGCTTCCGTATTTATTTGTGTGTTTTGCTTTGCTTATTTACTGTACTGTCCACTTGTGCATTAGTTAATAACAGATTGCACTGAAGTCCCTGAACTCCCATATTAATATGGCCTCAAAGGAGATCAAATTAGGATGGGTTAAGAAAAACTGACATGATATACAGATCGTGCAGAATCCCAGTAACTACAGAGAGCCGTCACTAGAGGGAGATATGCAGTTTTATAACTGAGCCGAGTTGACCACATTTCACTTTGGTTAACTTTCAGATTAGTTTGATGTACAAATTTGTACATTTCCATGAATTTCACTGGTGATTTAATTGCATTCACATTCTGCTAGTTTGTCATTGTAATTGCTTAACACTGTACGCAGGGGGTTTCATTTTAGAGGGTGCTGATGTCACGTTGAGTGACACCTGTTACATCTATTGCTCTTCCACTGAGCTGGTTTTCCTTTCTTCCCCTCTTTGTCATTCTGTCGGCTCATCTGACTCGTTATCAGAAGAAACGTGTGTGGTGCGGTGGGCAGCTGTGCATTTTTCCTCTTGTGTTCTCTCATATGACATTTTCATAAGACCACCTGTCTGTCAAATCTATTTTGATTAATTGATCTATATATAAATCTATATTTCTGACAGACTATTTTCAGAGGTGAGTCTTCTATAGGTGCAAATAGGCGTTCATTCTGACTGTCAAGAGCACATATAACGCTAAAGCAATAGTTCACCTATAAAATGACAATTCTGTCACCATTTACTAGGGTTGGGTATCGTTTGGGGGTTTTTTTTATACCGGTGCCTGAACCGATACTTATTTAAAAAATAAATAAAAATTCCCCAAAAAAATTATGGATTGGCCATTAGCACTATAAACACATGATGTCTGTTTCATTCATACTGGACGCCAGAGGTTGGCCTAGCACAGAAAATCCACATATCCAGTCACAGAAGTAGAGAACTCCTGACCCTCCAGGAAATCCCTTATATGGACAAAGGCATTGCTATTATATCTGTAACTGAGTAAACAGAACATATAAACGTTTTGAATGATAAAACAAAGACAATAAACACTCGACTGCACAATATAGTTTATCTGTGTTATTTAAGACATATCTGGTATTTTCAATAATAATTAAGTATATTTATAATAGGGTGACCATATTTTAGTTTTCCAAAAAAAAAGGACAGTAGGGGGTGGGGTTTGTGGGCGGGGCTTAACCTAACAGTATTCATAGCAAGGTTTTTTTTTGTTTGCTTATTTTGTTTTTCTAATAAATAAAAAGAAAACAAGTAGAAATAATAGAAAAAGAATGGGGAATGCTAGTGTTAGAGGGTCATTTTTAAGTAAAAATAAAACAATTCAATAGAACAGAAAAAGAACCGATAATGCTAGCGTTAGAAGATCATTATTTATTATAAATAAAAAGAAAATAAGTGGAAAGAATAGAGAAAGAATAGAGAATGCTAGTGTTAGAGGCTCTTTTTTCTTTATAAATTAAACAAGTAGTTAGAATAGAAATAGAATAGACTGTGCAAATGTTAGAGGGTCAAGTTTTTTAATTAAAAAAAACAAGCTGATAAAATTAGAAGTAGCATTAGAATAGAGAGTGCTAGAGTTAGAGGGTCAAATGAAGGTGAAAGAGATGCGTTTTCAGCCATTTCTTGAAAGTATTAAGGACTCAGCTGCTTGGATTGAGCTGGGCAGGTCATTCCACCAGGAGGGATTAGTTAATGTAGAATTCCATGAAAGTTTTATCATAGGTAGAATGCAAAATGTTTCAATACAAGC